GAATGCCTATCAAATTACGCTGTCATCCGAGTTGGATAAACGCTCACTGGTCTCATATTCACCAGACCTTACTAGCAGCAGGCAAATCCTCATGTGGTATGTCTAATCGCCAACATGAACACTGGGCCTCTTCACAGTCTCTGGAACTTATAGATACTCGCCGGTATATTCCGGCTGGAAGAGAACACAATGAAACTCGCAAAGATCTCCGGGCAAAACTCCGTGCTAGCCTGAAGAGAGACCGCGAATCCTGGTGGTCTCATCGTGCAACAACGCTGGAAGTAGCCGCTGCCCTTGGTAACCATGCTGAGTTATTCCGTCTGATACGGGAAACGGGCAGCAGAAGACCTGGTGTCAGTGAAACTATATGTGACGAGAGTGGACAGCCTATCCACAATTTATCAAAACGCCTGGAACGTTGGGCTGAGCATTTTAAAAGGCAATTTAATCGGTCGGAATGGTTAGATTTCTCGCCGGCCACTGATCGCCCTGCTCCGTGGGCTGTTCTTTTGGATCCACCCTCTCGCTCAGAAGTCGAACATGAGATAATACTGTTGAGGTTAAATAAAGCCGCGGGACCTGATGACCTTCCTCTAGCCCTCTTCAAATTCGGGGGCCTGCTCTTGTGGAGGATTTACACGAGTTACTAGTGAGACTGTGGGAGCAGGAAACTGTCCCAACCGATTGGAGCCGCTCCATCATAGTCCCGATTTTCAAAGGAGGCTCACGATCGGAATGCGGCAGCCATACAGGAATCAGTCTGATCTCCATCGCCTACAAATTGCATGCCTCTGTCATCCTTCACAGACTGAGTGGTACTCGTGAAAGCCAGATTCGTGAAGAGCAAGCTGGATTTCGTCGAGGTCGTAGCTGCATTGACCACATCTTCACCTTGCGTCAGTTGTTGGAGCACCATCACATATATTGACAGCCCACCGTTGTCGTGTTCCTCGATATCAAAGGTGCATTCGATTCGGTGGATGGACATGCACTTTGGGACTGTCTATTCAGGAAAGGTGTACCTGAGAAATATGTGAACATTATCCGAGCATTATATGCGCGTAGCTCGGGCAGAGTGAGGGCTAACGGCAAGTTGTCGTCGCCCTTTAATGTCTCCAGCGGAGTGAGACAAGGATGCCCGCTGTCACCTTACCACTTCAACTTCGCTGTTGACGAAGTCATGGAAGTCGCGTACACAAAACACGACTTAGAAGGTGTGGAGCTACTCCCAGGAGAACGACCTCTTGACTTAGAGTATGCTGATGATATTGCCCTGATCTGTGACAGCTCACAAACTTGTCAAGCGGCATTGGACAGATTAGCACTAACTGTCCGTCACTTCGGGCTTTGCTTCGCATCCTCGAAGTGCAAAGCGTTTTTCCAAGATTGGTCTGGACCGCCTCCTACGCTGACCCTTGGTGGGGATCAGCTAGAAGTCGTTCAAAAATTCAACTACCTGGGAAGTTGTATCAGCGCCCGTGGGATTAAGGATGAGATCACGAACCGCATAGGAAAAGCTCGGGGCGCTTTTGCTAACCTTCGCCACTTATGGCGCCGGCGCGCATTCACTCTCACCCTGAAGGGTAGAGTGTACAATGCAGCAGTACGTTCGACCCTACTGTACGGTTGTGAAACCTGGCCGCTTAAAGCAGCGGACCTGAAGAGGCTAGTTACGTTCGACCACCGGTGCCTTCGTAAGTTAGCTCAAATTTGGTGGGAACACCGCGTGAGCGACGAGCGTGTCCGACGCCTTGTTTATGGCATAGGAAAAGGAAACGAACCGCTCAGCACCGATATTTCACGCACCAGGCTCCGATGGTTTGGTCACGTGTTACGCATGCCAGCTCACCGACTTCCGCGACGTACGTTGTTTGCGCGCCAGGGATGTGGATGGAAGAAGAGGAGAGGTGGCCAAGCGATGACTTGGTCCAGAGGAATGAAGGCCCTCACTTCTGAGCTGGCCTCGGTTGGAGCGTCTCGGCTCCCTGGTTGGGTTCCGAAAGACGATGAACACGTTTGGTTGGACACTTGCTGATATGGCTAGGAGCCGATCTCAGTGGCGTTCGTGTTGTGAGTTACTTTGTCCTACCCCATCCCTCTTAGCCTCCCCCTCCAACCACGATCTCATTATTTAGACTTATATTATTTTGCATAATTTTTTGGGTGCACAGCAGCCGGCTGGTAGCTTGCCGGAAAGATGTCCATCCGTTGCCGGTAGCTCAGCCAGCTTGCACCAGTTCCATTTTTCTCCTTTTTTCTATGTATTACGGCACAGTAGCTGAGGTGTTCCGCACCTCCAGCTAACGTGTATGATGATGATGGTATGCGGGAAAAGGTGCAGCTGATTAGACAAACCTCGGAGTACTTTGATGCTGTCTCCGGTGTGGAGCAAGAATGTGTAATAGCTCCTGCCCTGCGTAAAAGTTACCTTCATGCAATGATGACTTGCGTTTTTGATGCTGCCTGTGATTACGGCGTCTGTGTGGAGCACCGTATTAAATGGTGGGTTGCTGAAAATTCGCCGTTTCGGTGCAAGAATCTTAGTGTGCGAGATAATCATCCGCAAGCTGCAGTTTCCTGACGACCGTGCGTCATTCACACACGGGCAGATGAGCTGCAGCACATAACAACAGCTCTCGCTTCGACAGTGGCCAAATTCGAGCACATCACCAACTGTCGTTTTCAGCGTTCTCCAGAAGTGGAATCAGTGGGCTTGCCGTAAATCCATGTTGGTGCTGAGGTTATGGGAACCATCTCGAGATTCTATCTACCGATCTCCAGTTGGCCAGCGAGCTATGCACGCGCGTATCAAGGGCGACTGTTGCGTTTAGCAAACTGGTGAAATGTGTGTGCAGGAACCATTAGTTCACCACTGGAAAGAAGCTGCTGCTATACAAGTCCATAGTATTGTCTGTTATTCTATACGGCAGTGAAATCTAAACGATGTACTGGAAAGAGGTTAGACATCTGGAGCTGTTCCATCAACAGTTGCTGTGCGTCAGTTGATGTGACAGAGTTGCAGACAAGGAAGTGCTGTGACCCGGTGGTATGTATACAGCTTACTGCATATCTATGCTGTGGCACCTGTAACGGCTGGAGCACATCAGCCGCATAGGTTCGACGCGAATACCAAAGCGGCTCTTATATGGAAAACTTAGTGCAGGGAAGGGGCACGTCAGAAAAACAGAAGCTATGTCACCAAGACATGAGCACGAAACAAGGCTGATTTCAGGTTAGGAAACGATGGTAGTTGATCAGTGCGAACGGTGTCAGCTGATAAAGTGGGCGGCTGCCCAGGTGCATCAGAAAGCGCTAGTACACACACAGGAGAAACGCCTGGTACCAAAGTGAAGAACGACTGTGGTGGATAGTCCATCGAAGTCGAGCGCATTGTGCTGGCTTAATAAGTCACCAGTGTCGCCACGTGAGGCCAACGTCTAAGAGAAGACGAGTAAGCTAAATATGCAACCATCATCAGTGCAGCGCTTGGTAACCACGTGGTCTCCGGTTTGATTCCATTTACTAAGCCAGGCCAATATTGCGGTTGATGTAGTACATGCGCTAGAGTACCACTGCAGTTGGTCTGGACGTGTAGCTGCGTAATGAGTTTCTTAGATTTCAGGTGTTGATTTTTGTTTAATATCCCCGGTGGCTTCGCGTGACGTGAATGTTGACAAGATGCCTACGCGTCTAACAACCGCCACCTCGATCACCGGCTCCAGGAGACTGGATCGTTGCTGAGGAGAAGGTGTGCACAGTCCTCGTGGTCGTGCTAGGTTGAGAGTGGTACCATACATCCGATGTGGAAAGGGTTACGGTCCAGCTACCGCCTTGTGTATGTCTGGTACGCATGGTTTCTAAAGTACGCATGAATTGTAGCTCCCATCCACATGCCTCTCGGTCTTATTCCTGCGGACTTAGGCGTGGAGGTGTGATGTGGTGGCGGTGTTATGCAAGCCACCCATGGTCCCTGTGTAGGCGCAGGCGTCCTGCGACTGTCTTATTGAGGCCGCAGTAAGAGGCAAATCCGGAACCGGATACTGCCAAACATATAGTATGCAGATGCGAACAGAAACGTTATTTCGAAAAGTGTTATTAGACGAGCAAAGCAATGCACCTGCGCATACTGCACGCTGTTCAACACCGGGACAGATGTGCCAATCCATAAGCAACAGTTTAAAGGGGAGCGTCAGCAATGTGCCGTACCGATAGTTCGTTGTCATGCGAGCACCATCGGTCGAGTAAGGGTTAGGGAGATTGCGAGAGCCGCCTAGTCTACTACACAGGCTCGAGTTGCGATCTTCGGGTTAAGAGGCAGACGTCTGGTCTTTTCCGCAACGGGCTGGAGTAACAGTTTACACTACAAGAGGGTGAAGTATGTCCCGTGCCAAAACATTTTAAGCGCGGTACGGTTTAGAAAACTGAGCAAGGTGATGTCAGCAACATGATGTGGGTTGGTCGCGCAATTACTTGGAAGAAGCGATAAGCTAAAAACTTGGAAAATCTTCCAGTGTTCTCGACGAGGCAACTCCAATCGCAAAATTGAACGGGGATGGGGAAGATGGGCATGATTCCACTCACCGCTACTGTGAGTGAAGAACGATGAAAGCCAGAAACAAACGCACACTTGATTGGAGACATAGATCAACTGCAGTACGCCATTCTGGGATCCAGTCAATTAACAAGCAAATGTACGGGACGGTTTCATCAAATTAATCGAAGGTAGCGCAGAGGTGAGAAAAATGACAAAGGTAAGACCGGTAGGTATGGCGACGTTGGAAAATTAAGAAAACGTAAAGGCGCGATCTACATACTCCTAAGGTGTTAGGATAGAAAAACCAAAGGTAAATGCGGTCGAGTCGGGAAGCCCGCAGCTGGAATGGGCATGGAAAAGATCCTAGTGTATATTCATCTCGTATAAATCCTTAAGTCGCAGTGCTTGTGTCAGGCGATTGGGACCAATGAAAAAAGCTGAGGAGCGATACAAATTAGAACGGATAATAAACGTAGAAGTATATTTTCAGGCATATATGATAGAAGATCAAGCACGTCTCTTCTTCAGCTAAAAAAGAGAAAAAAGTGACTTGAAAACTTATTCGTCAGAAGTGAGGAAAAACTGACGAAAAGCATCAAAAATGTCAAAGAGTTAAACGCACAGTTTGATCTGCAACAACCCGAGATTTTAGCAGACATGACACGACAGTGGCTGGAGAAAATTGAACGCCATAAAATACTTGAAGAGACTGGCTGCAATAATGGAATGTGTTAAGACAGAGGGACCGTTTCATGTCGAACGACCAATGGTGAAAGGTTGATTATTTTATGACAAAACTGTAGGTCACCTGTGAATTGAACTGCACACGGATGGATCCGGTTTATATAATTGGAGGAGCTTGTAAAAGGCAGTTGGTTTTTGACGGAAATAGCTATCTCAAATTGCTTAATGTATGGCCATAAGCAGCACGGATGGCAATGGAGCATAAGGCATTGTGTGTAAAGTGTAACCACTAACCAATTGGTATAATGATAAAACGTGAAAGTGCCAACGGAAAATCAATGCAGCTAAAGCATTAGCAGGAAACGTAGACAATGCAGATAACTGGGGTGGGAACAGTTTGCGGACAGTGAATGAATGCAAAACTTTTGGTATCACGGATAGGTGGAGCCGTAGTAGAACATTGAAGACATTACGCACAGGCCAACAGAGGTGACACTTCTGGGGAAAATGGAATCAGAAGTACACCGGCACGCCGTACCGACGCTTTGCTGAAATGCAACTACCAACAGTCGTGCGTGAGCTAAAGGATACTGCAAGGGTCGTCCGGTTTCTTAAGCAGACTCGAACCCGCGACCTCTGGCTTATTAGGCAGGCTAGCGACCCTTTCGGCCACGGGCAGTCAAGATAGAAGCTTAACTGCGATAAAGTGCACTGAAAACCCCAAAGAAGCTATCGAATGAGTGAGAATCAACGTTCGCACTGCACCAAGTTTCTTATGACAGCACAACGATCACAGAGTACAGGTGTCGTGACCCTGAGTGCTCGAGTAACGCGCCAAGCCAACTAGCTGAGCTTCTGAGGGGTTCAGGAGACCTACTTGCACATTCATTCCGGCTGCAACTGGAACAATATCCGAAGCAACAGCGTTGCGAAGCAAAGTGTTGACTACTTGGTAAAAGGCGTTTTTGGTAGCTGCAAGGATGCAGTCAAAGGGAGCGTAAGCAAGAACCACAAGCAAAGAACGTATGGCATTATTTAATGCGCCAACCTCGGTTGATGTGGTCAAACGAGCTGCACACAAACGGCTGCTGATGGAAATACAACAAATCAGCGATGGCTCAGTCTTGGAGCCGAGAACGATGTCAACCCCAGCTGGGCCTGTGGTTGTTGCGGAGCTCAGCACCAATTTACAGGGTTAATCGTACGAAGTTCAATGCGAGAAGCTGTTTCACAACCTGGCTTATCGTCGACGGCGAGTTGACGCCATCATGACCCACCGTATGCTTCATTCAAACGACTATCTCATGATGAGGCCACTGCTCCACTTGCGAATACCCTGCATTATACGTGGACAGCAACATAAGGCTGTGGTGCCAGATCAGAATCGAGTTCCCCACTCTCTGGGCTTAGAACAGCGAGTGGTCAATGTTTGAGACAATTTGTCAAAGTGCTAAGTGGAAGCGAACTCAGTGCAGCGGTTCAAAACGTTGGTGGGTTTACATTTCTCTACCGTTAGATTCCGATGACAATGACATTTCACATCTGAGTAGCAGGACACTGCGATTTATACTTTCCTTTTCACCGAAAACTTAAAAAAGGTCCGTACTGTTTCGGTAGCTATTCTGATCACATTTCGATAGAGCAGTACAGATTCAAATGTTTGTTCTTATAATACAATATTCAACCACAGCCTTTGTCTCAAAAGCCTGACTACAAAATAACGCGGAGCAATCTGTTGTCATATAAACGGACGCAATCCCAAGCTGGAGTACCGGCAGGTTGTGTTTGTGTGACAGCTAACAAATGAAAAATGATGTAGGAGTGGATCTCAAGGGACCACAATGTGTCGAAGGCCGGCCCATAGCCTTAAGGATCACAAGGCTGGTTTGTAATCCGAGGGCGCAGGTCCGAACCCGGTGACCCTCGTAGTACCCACCAGCGACTGGCGGCGGCTGTGCGGTAGCGTTGGTACGACGTACTGCTGATGCCTTTCCTTCCGCTTTTCTGGCAAGTGCACATCTTCGACATGACTTTGCCATCTGTTCTAGTTCCGAGTCGAAATTCCGCCAGTAAACGATACTCCGACCCATCATTTTCATCCTGTTGACACTAGGATGGCCTCGATAGAACTGCCGTAGAACCCTACAGTGAAGCCGCGAGTGGACGACAACTCGTTCGGTCAGTAACAAGCATACGTTGACGATTGACAGTTCATCTTTCCTTATTCAGCTTACGTGTCAGTTTTTCCTTGGGCCATTGTGTAGTGTGGTAGCTGACCGCTTGTTGGAAAACTGGATTTCGAGTTAAAACATTATGCACCATTTCGAAAGCAGCCGGAAGCTTTCTGAGACTCTCCATCAGCAATTGATTGACTTCGGACTCCAAGGAAATCACTGTGATGATACTTCTTACTAGGACTGCTGATTTCCCAGTAGTCGAGAAAGCGCATCAGCTTGACCCATGTCCTTTGTAGATATATATTTCCTTACAAAATCGTAACCGAGCAAAGTGGTGGAACAACATTGCAGGCTGTTCGCTGTGTAGACGGGGATGTCTAACCTTGATGCGGAAATCGCAAGTAGTGACTTATGAGCAGTAAGAAGTGTGAACTTTCTCGAATACAGCATGTGAAATTTCTTTACTGCGAAAGCTATCGCCAGGGCCACTTTTCCATCTGAGCATAATTTCCCACTGCGGGAGACAGCGATCTGACTACATGTACAGCTGCCTTTGCTAACCATCCGCGAACTTGTGGGCTATGACTGCACTAATGCCATAATTCGAGGGGTCTGCGGTCGTAATGCGTCAGAGAAGATCGGAACATAGAAGACTTTTTACTTGCTCAAATGATCTCTGATATTCTTTGGACCAGTTCTAGTGATTGTTCTTGGTCAGTAATTCATTCAGTGAAACATGTAAGCGGTGCATACGCGGCAGGAAGGGGCTGTAATGGCTCATGAGTCCTAGGAAGGACCTTTGTGTTGCGACATCTTTAGGCGGCTGCACCTCGTTGATAGCTCCAATGTTCGCTGGGCCTGGAATTCGGTCATTCTTGTCGAATATAAAGCCGAGAAACGCAATGGAACCCATAAATAAAATACACACCTCAGGTCGGAGTTTGAATCCATACTCTTCAAAACGGCCAAGAACTCGATCGGACTTTTCGAATGGGTCATCAGCACTGCGTCTGACAACAATGAGGCCTTCCAGGTATGCAGTTGCGCCACCGACGTCTGTCAGCATGGTGTCCGTGATCTGTCGCCATATGGCTGGTGCGGAGTTGACTCCTGACGGAAGACAGTGGTACTGATACAAGCCTCGGGACGTCTTGGTGGTGAGTAATTCCCGTGAGGCTTTATTTACTTCAATCTGCAGGTATGCGTCGGAAAAATCCAGTTTTGCGAAACATTTAGCTCCATTCAGTTTTGCAAACAAATCATACGGAGGCGGAAAGTGGTATCGATGAGCGTTCAGTGCAGCACTCAAACTCGTCAAGAAATTGGCGCATATTCGAAATTGCCCTTTCAGTTTTTTGACGACCACAATGGATGCTTCCCAGGATAAGTAGTTTACCGGGTAGATAAGTCCTGCTCTCTCTAAGCGATCCGGCTCATAGTCAACCACTGGTGTTGCTGCGTAATTTATAGGGCATCCCGTGCGAAACACTGGAAGGGCATCGGACTTAAGGAACAGTAAAGCTTGTAGCTTTGTGCACTTACAAAGGCCTTCTCGGAAGACTGCTGCATACTACTCTCGTAGTTGCTCTATGGTCACTGTTTTGGGGACTGTCAGTTTGTTTATCTGGACAACTGCACAAATCTCATTCATCGGACCATAAAACAGATTGAAACGCTCAATCCAGTCTAGACCCAAGAGATTCAAATCCTGACGGCTCGTGACGAAAAGCGATCTCCATGCGGTAAAGTCGGCATAACGACACGCACATTCAACTTGACCAAGAATTCGCAGAGTCAATGGTACCCTTGCTTGTCGGCCGGTGGCCGAGTGGTCTGCACGTTTGCTTTGCAACCATAAGGTCACCGGTTCGAATCCGCGTAGGGGTGGGCGTCCTCGCGGTATACTCAGCCCGCGCGCGACTGGTGGTGGTCGCGCGGCAGCGAAGCGCCGTTACGGCGTACAGCTGACACATTATTTATTATTATTCCGGTTTGTCGAATAAAGCAGTCAGTGTTCAAACAACTTCACCAACCCCCGTTGCCATATATTCCACAAGGTGCTTTGCCACATCTTCCACACCATTGTCTCGAGGTGAAGCGAATCATGCTCTCAGATTCGCGACTCTTCAGAAGCCGGATCATGCGGTGTTTAACTGATCCAAACATACAACGTCAAAGCTGGCAGAATCACGCTTTATGCATGTCTACTTTATTCGATCTATCGGAAATACCCCATAGAAGTATGAAAAAGCGAAACGGAACAAAAAGCTGTAGTGGTGAATACCATCTTGCGATTGACAGAATGGGATTAACACCTATCACCTGAGGTGGCACAGATAGTGCGCTTGTAATATGCTCGAGCATCCAACAGCGAATCCGTCATGCTGAAGAGTCAGATGCATTTTAAACCAACAGAGCTGACCATTCGGTGCTTTTATGCTGTGGTCAAGTTTGTTACGGCAGATGTGGAACTTGACAAAGCAATGACCTATGCAGTGATGCTCGAAGTCAAACTAAGTTGAAAAGTGGATAATGAGCTGATTTCCAAACTTTTCTTATTCACAAGTTAATAAACAAAGAAAAGAATGTGGCTTCGAAATGGATGAACACCATTTAGTTAGGATGACGCTTTTAACATGAGACTACTCTTTACTGTGTGATAACAAATTAAAAGGTCCAAATTTGGCTTCACGGCGCTAAGTGGTCAATGTTAGAGTCTCGATATTAGTCGCTCACACATATCAAATGAACATGTGTGAAACTATTTGCTTTTTTTACCGAACCAACTTGACAAGTTAACCGTTGGATCGAATTCCGACAAACTGGAGCAGCGTTCTAAACGCATGCAAAAACTGATTGTTCATAATCGTTTTGATTCCCCAGCTTGCTCCAAACGTATTTCAAGGTATTGAATAAGACTCCACATACAAGCACGTTCCGAAATCTGGAGGTGAGAAATGAAACTAGGACTGCAGTAACGTTAGCGTCAAACATGGCGATCAGTGAGACCGTCTCTGTGAGTGATAAAGCCGCAGGTTATCTCCAAGACAGGACTATGCAATATCACCTCTAACTGACAGCCACAAGACGACAATTTTTGTGATCAGAAGAAAATCTGCAAAGTGGAAAGAATTTTCTGAAGGCTAGAGTGACTCATGTCAGATCGGCGGAAGCGAAAGGAAGCCACCAGGAAATTTTAAACCAGCTGTGACGATGAAAGTCTACTGACATCAACGTACCGAGAGCTCTGCACTAAACAAGTGTAAGCTCGAATCTACCGATTACCTTCAACCAGGTGATGACAAACAGCTCAGGCTGCATGCAGCGAATAATCGCCACCAAGAAAACCGAAGTTGAAAACAGAGTGAACGCCAGAGCACAATGAATTTACTTACGATTCGATCGAATGCAGCATCAAATAGGCCAGCAGACGCATCTGGAACACCGGAAGAAAACGACTTCATTTCGCCCTCACCAGGTGAATTTTTCCGCTTCAATCGATGTTGCGGAAAGGATGGCATCATGTCAGGCTCACATGCTATACAAAGAAGGCAAAAACTGTGATAATTCCCCTACGGAACATAAAACGAAGAAAAATTCGAGAAACCTTTATTGCGCCACAAGATATGGGCATTAAATAAGACATAATGATAAAGGCACGCCTAAGGGAAGTCGCATATCGGATAGAGGAACGGCTATAAGTCACACAGGCAACATAAAAGATCGCTTAATTTCGACAAAACGTCTGACGACATGCATGCGCAGCATCAGCACGTACGAATGGGGTAATTTGTGTCAAAGCCACATAGTTTACGCTCTTGTAAAAATGTCGACTCAGCCGTTATAAGACTAGTGGTATAGACTAAATACCGAATGATGGAACTCCGTAAAAAAAGTGAGAAATTACAAATGGCCGTTCAGAAAGCAGTGAAGATAGTTCGATCAAAAGGTAAGAGATTGTATCGAGACTGGGGAGTCATCATCATCATTACACGCCAGCTGAAGGCGAGAAATACACCTCAGGTATTGTTTGGAGGAGCACTTGACCCCACAAACTCGTGCGAGTTACGATCTGGACGTTGTACTTTTGTGAGTTCACGATTCACACACACCCATGCTCATGTCTGATACGCCCACACTTCATTTGCTTCGATACGCCCAGAGAATTGGGTGAAAATTCTTTTGTCATGTACATGTCCACGATTACTGGGACATTTTCCCTCGCCTCTCCTTGTATTCGCCTCCGCCGGCTATATCGCCAGTTTCGGCAAAGATTGAGGCTAAGCGGTCATGTGATCGCTTTTCCGCGGGGTCGCAAAAGTGCTCTGCTAAGGGTGCATGGGTGACAGTCTATCAAATGGACAAAGAGCCAAATATAACAATGGATAAGAGGACAGATTTAACGCCGTATCATCATTATGACACATTAACTGACGATGAGCAACACACTTCAGCTATTGTGCCGCAATAAAAGACAAAAAACGGAGCATTTTTGTTATGTTGCAATGCCATTTTTTATTTTTTTGTCGTTTTTAATAATTAATCATCCAAAAGTAAACAATTGTGTACACAGACCCACTACCAGTTTCGAATACGAGCCATATTCTGGATTGTTTCCAGCCATCGGCACTCCTCGTCCTTTGGTCCACAACCAGACGAGCAGTAGACAGTGCGAATGCCGAATAGAGTTCTCCGTCTCTTTCCGAATACCGGCAAGTGCGATTTTCCTCGTTCGGAGTACACCTTTTGCGGGGTCCAAATTGTTCGTACCGACTAAGTCGATCGAGCAAATAAGGATAGTCGTAACGACCACACCGTTGTATTGACGTGGTGACGGAAGTTCTTTTCGAACCATGGCAGATGTGAACGTTGATTTGATATTGATGTTACAACAGCAATTCAAATTGACGTACGCAGTAATCGACAAACTCTCTAATCCTTCCAGTCAGTTTGAGTCCGCTGGACGTTTACGATCGGTTGACCATATCGCGAGCAACATCACGGTTTCTGCCCGATCCTAATGATCTTCGACTTTCGGCATAAGCGTTACGATGACCTGGTTTTCCAGGAGGACGAGCGGAAGGTCCGGCTACTTTTGTGCAAACTAAGCATCATCGAATGGCAGGGAAATACCAATGTCATTATGCCAAGAAACCACAGAGACATTACTTTCTGTAAGACCGTCCAGACGCTGTTGCAGATTTATGGTGAGCAGTTCTCGTTCAACACCCCTTTCTAATGCCTCCAATTGATTATGTGTGATGCCGACGACTTCATCATGTAGGAAGGCACCATCAACCGTGAATGCTCATGGAGAACTAGTACAAATGTCTGCTCTTCGCTTGTGGTCTCCAGTCCGCACAAAATGGCGATATCAATATGCGCCTTCTGTCTAGGCTACAATAAGGCAGCGCTGTAACTCTCCAGAAGCTGACGGAGTGTTGAATGTTGCTGAATCTGAAACACGACTACATGATGACAGAGAACGCCTCCACACCTGATCTGGTACAAAGAATTGAAGCACCCAAGCCGGAATCTTCTGCGCGGCCTACCCAACCTAACGGAGCGAAGTCTCATCCTATCCGTGCCGATTCTGTGGTGCCTGGCATCTTCATCGAGACTGCAAGTTTGCCAGCATCGATGCCCAAGATGTGGTACGGTGGGGCTCAGTGGTGGTTACTGAAATCCTACCCCACCCAAGGTCAATTAGGCACTGGAAGAGATCCTGATCCAAATGCAAACCCATCCTCAGCATCATCATTATACGCGTTACCTGCAGGTGGAAACACCTCAGCTATTGTGTCACAAGAAGAAAGAACAAGAGAGGCACGCCGGCTGAGACACCGGTAACGGATGGACATCATCCTGGAGAAGTAACAGTCGGCTAACGTGCCGCAAAAGGAGTTATATTATGTCTAACAAATGAGATCGTGATTGGAGGGAGAGGCTAGGCGGGAGGGGAATGGACAAAGGAACTCACAAAACAAACGCCACTGGGGCCGGCTCTTAGCCATATCAGCAAGTGTCCTACTAAACGTGTTCATCGTCTTTAAGACCCTAAGCAGGCAGTCGGGATGTGCTGACCGATGCCAACTTCGAAGTGAGGGTTTCCATTTCTCTCGACCAAGTCATCGCTTGGCTTCCGCTCCACCTCTTCCAACCGCAACCCCGGCGTGTACACAATGCACATCGCGGAAGTCGGTGTGTTGGCATGCGCAACACGTGGCCCAACCATCGGAGCCTGGTGCGTGATATAATGGTGCTGAACAGTTCACTCGCTCTTCCTGCACCAAAGACGCGACACAGAACACGCTCATCGCTGACGCGACGCTCCCACCAGACATGAGCTAAGCTGCGAAGACAGCGATGATCGAACGTGACCAGCCTCCTAATGTCTGTCGACCTGACTGGCCAGGTATCACAACTATATAGGAGAGTTGAACGGACGGCTGCGTTGTAAACTCCGCCCTTCAGGGCGAGAGTAATGTCGCGTCTGCGCCACAGGTGGCGGAGATTGGCAAAAGCACCTCGAGCTTTTGCTACACGGTTCGTAACCTCATCATCGATCCCACAGGCGCTAATATAGTTGCCCAGGTATTTGAATTCCTGAAAGGCTTCTAGCTGATCACCACAAAGCGTTAGCGCAGGCGTGGGTCTCTGCTGATCTTGAAAATAAACGGCACTTTCATGCAGCAAAGTATAGCCCAAAACGATTTACAGCCAGTGCCAATCGGTCCAGCGCAGCCTGGCACGTTTGGGCACTGTCACGTATGTGGTCCACATACTTCAAGTCAAGAAGTCGCTCACCAGGAAGTAGCTCCACACCTTCTAGATCGTGTCCAGTGAACGCTGTTTCCAGCACTTCATCAATAGCGAAGTTAAAGCGGAAAGAGGATAGCGGGCAACTTTCTTGCACACTGCTGGAGATATTGAGCAGCGGCGATAGTCTGCCAAAAAACCCTCACGCTGACCGAACTAAGCGTGTACAGCGCGTTGATAAGTTTTACATATTTATCGGGCACAGTTTTTATCAGCAGACAGTCTTATTGAATCGAAGGCACCTTTGATATCGAGAAACACGACAACGGTGAGTCACCAATAAGCATGGCGGTGCTCCAACAATTGACGCAAAGTGAAGAGGTGGTCAATGCAACCTCGATTTCGACGAGACCCAGCTTGCTGTGCGTGCCTTTGGCCTTCACGAGCGTCAGTCAGTCAGTGGAGAACGACAAAAGCAAGGACTTTAGAGGCAATTGACATCAGACTGATTCCTCTATGACTGCTGCATTCCGAAACAGGAGTCTCCCTTGAAAATTGGGACTATGCGGAGCGGCACCAGTCTGTCGGTACAGTTTCCTGTTCCCTGTTCCAACAGCAACTCGTGCAAATAATGTACAAGAGCAGGTCGCCCGAATGTGGGGCTGGGGAAATATCATCTGCACCAGCGCCCTTAGGCAATTGCAACAGTCTAAATAAATAAATAAACAGTCTGATCTCACGATCGACTTCTGCGCATGAAGGCGGATGTAAGGAGGCGGCCCATGGAGAAGGGCACTCAGTGCTCGAAAGAGAAATCGATAACAGATTGGTTAAACTGTCGTGCAAAGTGTTCGGCCCAACGCTCCAAGCGTTTTGACAAGCTGTGGATTAGCTGTCCACTCTCGTCGCGTATTGTCTCGCTAACACCAGGTTTCCTGCTGCCTGTTTCCTGTATCAGACGAAATAACTTAGGATGCTTATCAATGGCAACGGCTGTTTCTATTTCCGATGCACGATGAGACCGTCAGACTTCGCAGTCTCTCTTCAGGCTAACACGCAGATTTGCCCAGAAATTATGAGAGTCTTATTGTATTCGCTTCCAGCCGGAATACGTCGGCGAGCATCCAGAAGTTCCTGAGACTTGGTAGAAACCCAATGTCTAGGTTGGCAATTGGAATTACCACATGCCTGCTGATGGCAACTTCTGACGAATATGCGACCTGTGAACTTTGACAATGTTTAGTGGACGCTTACTCAGCCCAGATGCCAGGGCAGTTTGATACGCAATCAGACCAGCTGGCTAAGCCAGCTAACTGGTATCAATGGGTTCAGAGCGCCGAAACGCACCCGCAGGTCGGCATACACAAGAGCGTGATCAGAGTCCAAGCTGGTGCACCAAAACTAGCGACAGTTTTGGACACCGCCTCTCCAGCAGTAACTAATCGCGATTTGATAGATTTGTTTCCACGGCTGGCGCAGTCATTCTTCTGCTGGTGTTAAGTCGAAAGTTAGTGCTCGCGAGAAATAGACGACCACCTTCACACAGGTGCAGCAACCGCTCACTGTTATCATTACGGAAGCCTACACCATGTTGGCCGCCCAGATGAAGCTCAACAGAGGAAAATTTTCCGACTTCGGCGTCTAGATCACCAACAAGCACCACAGCCTCCGTGCTTCATCTGGAACGAAGAAGATCGTTAAGCTGGTGATAGAAATCATCTTTCACCGAATCAGGGCTGCAGTTTGTGGGGCGGAAGGCGCAATGACAAACAGGCACCG